CCTGAAGAACTCTAACATTCAGAGGTCAGACAGAGAAGGAAGAACCTATAAAAGATGCTAAGAAAGAGTTGCTGATGAGTCAGGAGGCAAACCAGGGAAGTATACTGTTCAGGAAAATTAATGTCAAAAATACTTCAAGAAGAAAGACAGGTTAACTGCCAGAGGTCAAATAAATAGTGTTTTCAAACTTTGAAACTTTAATATGACAAAAGTTAACCAAAGTTCAAAAGCAAGCAGAAGAGAGGGAAAAGTATTTGAAAATTATGTAACAAAGGATTAATATTTAGATTATAATAAAGAACATTCAGAAATTAATAAGAGAAATACAACAAGGTCGTCACATTAAGCACCAAATACGTGAAGAGGCAGTTGATCTAAGGCTAAATATTTGTCAACAACTTTGAAATTAGTCAATAATTAACTTAAAAGAGGTTCAACCTGCCAAATCACCTGGAAAATGCAAATTCAGTGAAAGAGCATTTCTGTAATCAGCAAAATAGTAAAAGATGAGTAATGTACAGTGTTGGTGAGGGGAAGGAGTAGAGGCTACTCTCATACCCTGCAGATGAGAATGCAAATCGCTACAGTATGCTAGAAGGTCAACCTTAAGGTAAACCTAACATTTTTAGATGTACGTATACATCGATAGAGCAATTTCATTTTGAGTCGCTATCTAAAAGTAATACATATCACAAAGAAATGTGTTCAAGGGCATTAAAAACAGTACAGTTAGATATAGCAAAAGAATGGAAACACCTACATATCCACTAATGGGAAATAAATAAATTTTACTATGTATTTTTAGTACAGAAGATTATGGAACAGTTAAAAAGAATGAGTTAGATCTAAATGTTCTGAGAAACAATGATCTCTAAAATACATTCCTAAGGGATATAAAGCAAGGTGCAAAAAAGCACATATAACATGACCCCATTTATGTAAAATAAAAGTAATAAGAAAGTGGTCCAGTTTCATACTTTTGCATATGGCTGTCCAATTTTCCCCACACCATTTGTTGAAGAGACAGTTTTTTCCCCATTGTATATTCATTCATCCTTTATTGAAGATAAGTAAACTCAAAATGGAATGAAGACCTAAATGGGAGACCTGAAGCCATAAAAATCCTTGAAGAGAGTACAGGCAGTTATTTCTCTGACACTGGCCATAGCAACATTTTTCCAGATATCTCCTGGGGCAAGGGAAATAAAAGCAAAAATACACAACTGGGACTAACTCAAAATAAGTTACTGCCAGGCAAAGGAAACAACCAACAAAACTAAAAGGCAACCTACTGAATGGGAGGAGATATTTGCAACTGACATATCCGATAAGCGGCGAGTATACAGAACCTATAAAGAACTAATACAACTCAATACCCAAAAAACAAATAACCCAATTAAAAAATGGGCAGAAGGCATGAACAGGCATCTCTCCAAAGAAGACATTCAGATGACCAACAGACACCTGCAACGATGTTCATCATCACTTACAATCAGGGAAATGCAAATCAAACTACAATGAGCTATCATGCCTGTCAGAATGGCTAAAATAAAAAACAGAAGAGACAACAAGTGTTGGTGAGGATGTGAAGAAAAAGGAACCCTTGTGTGCACTGTCGGTTGGGAATGCAAACTGGTGTGCCCACTTTGGAAAATAGTATGGAGCTCAAAAAATTAAAAACAGGGGCGCCGGGGTGGCTTAGTCGGTTAAGTGTCCGACTTTCGTTTAGGTCGTGATCTCATGGTTCGTGGGTTCGAGCTCCATGTCGGGCTCTGTGCTGACTGCCAGCTCAGAGCCTGGAGCCTGTTTCAGAGTCTGTGACTCCCTCTCTCTCTGACCCTCCCCTGCTCGTGCTGTCTCTCTCTCTCTCTCTCTCTCTCTCCTAGAAATAAATAAAAATATTAAAAAAAAAATTAAAAGCAGAATGACCCCTATCCGATGATCCAGTAACTACACTACTGGGTATTTACTCCCAAAACACAAAACACTAATTCAAAGGGATCCATGCACCCTTACGTTTATTGCAGCATTATTTACAATAGCCAAACTATGGAAACAGTCCAAGTGTCCATCAATAGAGGAAATGGATAGAGAAGAAGTGGTGTATATAGTGGAATATTATTCAGCCCTAAAAAAGAATGAACTCTTGCCATTTGCAATGACCCGGTTGGAGCTAGAGAGTACAATGCTAAGTGAAATAAGTCAGAGAAAGACAAATACCATGTGATCTCCCTTACATGTGGAATTTAAGAAACAAGACAAATGAACAAAGGAGAAAAAAAAAAGAGAGAGAGACACAAACCAAGAAAGACTCTTAACTATAGAGAACAAACTGGTGGTTACCAGAGGGGAGGTGGGCGGGTGGGGATTTATGAAATAGGGGATGGGGATTAAGGACTGCACTTATCATGATGAAAAAAATAAAGTAAAATAAAATAAGTGGAGAAATCTATGAATTTATATGTGTTGCGCATTTTTGTAAATGCATTTAAAAATCACGACTAGTTTTAATTGTCTTTGACGTGAAAGGCAGGATCAGCAGGATAAAAGCCGATTTTACTTTTGATTAAGTTTTATATTTCTTTCTGTTTAAAAAATTTTTTTCCTTAATATTTATTTATTTTTGAGAGAGAGAGAGACAGAGTGTGAGCAGGAGACGGCAGAGAGAGAGGGAGACACAGAATCCGAAGAAGGCTCCAGGCTCTGCTCTGTCAGCACAGAGCCCGATGGGGGCTCGAACCCACAAACCATGAGATCACGACCTGAGCTGAAGTCGGACGCTCAACTGACTGAGCCACCCAGTCGCCCCTATATTTCTTGAATCCATCTGAATTTGTTGATGTCCTGCTTATAGGATTTTTAAGAACAACATAAATTTTTCTTATTACAATTGATCTAGAGAGTTCATTGCACGATTTGTTCGTTTATTCATCAAGAGTTTAAGTTCCTAGTGTACGTCAGGCAGCCTATTGGCTATTTGGTATTGAGCAGTGAACAAAACAGGATTCCTGTCGTTAGAAAGCTCACACTGCCGTGGATTCAGGTTTCAAACAGTCTTCTCTGTGCAGGCTTCCCCACTCTTAAAAGACTCCTCACCCCCACGAAAAGCATCTCAGACCAATTGCCTGTACTTTTTATTACCTCATGAAGAAATAACAAAAAATAAAGCATGGGGACTACATCCACAAGCCACCTCTAAACTGTCATGTCTGCTTTACAACCACACTGCAGGTTTCCACATGCAGCAGGGATCAAATACCGTGTCAGTCAGATGGGTGTCTTGGGCTGCCCTGGAAACCCCCTCACGCTTGTGTGACTGTCCCTCCAGGAAAAGGCCCTTCCAGTTCTAAACCACTGACTTCACAACGCACCACTAGAGCACACACTGTAAGTCGCTGGCAGCCTGGACCAAGACAGCTGCTAACTTAAGTGGCTTTTAGGCCCCCACACAGAAGTTCCTGTACACACGCTTTACTACATGGTTGGATTCTTCCTATGACACTCGCTTAGGGCATAATAATCAGGGAAGAATTCAGCCTACAGGCGTAGCTTTGAGGCTCCTCCACCAGCTGGCATCACCAAAGTAGGCTTTAGCTACGAGTCAGCCCACACTAGTAGCAGGGAATTGGATTCAGGCTGCTGAGCAGTCTCTGAGGCGAAGTGCTTATATTTCACTGCAATTCCTATTTGTCTTCTTCTTTTCTTACACATGCAAATGAAAATGCCTCAGTTTTTGGTTGCCAGGACAGCTGAATGCTGTCATCAGAAAAATTAAATGCTTGTGTCAAAAGAAGGAACTGCTTTTTAGAAATTCCTATGCATCTTGGGGCAAAGAAAGAAATGCTGTTGACAATTCGTCTTTGTACAGGATGAATGTACTTATTACACATGGTTTTTACGTGGCTGAGAGCAACTCTAGCCTGAGGGGAGCCAGAAAATTTTCAGGCTTTAGAGAGAGGCACCATGACTGGTCACTGACCATTCCACTCCACAGTTACTCCCGTTTCCACAACCTAGGTGACCTTGGGTAAACCGCTTGACCTTCCCATGCTCTGGCACATTCCATTTCCTTCCTCATGCTGTTCTATCTGCTAGAATGCCTTCCTTGATCTCTCCTCCAAATCTCCAATTCTTTAAAAAAAATGCTGTCCTCTGAAGCCTTTCCTGATTTTCTTAAGCCAAACCAGCTTCTTTCCTCCTCAAATCTCCCTTCTAGATTATCTACACCTCCATTATATCAGTTATCACATGGTATTACTGTTGCATATTTATCCTTCTGTTTATTTTATCACGTTGTTTTGTGGCCATCTTGGGGTATCAAGCAATATGTTACTACTATTGCTCTTATGCACGTTAATAATATTGTTAGTAATATTATGATTGCTTACTATGTGTGAGTCCCTATATGAATACATTACTTCTGTCACAATGGTCCTATGAGATGGATATTATTATTATTATGATTATGTTTTTTACAGTTGAGTAAAATAAAACCAAGGGAGATTATACAAAAGATTAGTAGTGGCATTGAGTCAAAATAAAGTCTATTTTGCCTTAAAGCCCATACTTCTAACCACTATTGTAAAATACTACCTAATAAATAATAGTAGATAATATTTACTAAGTGCTTACTAGGTGTCAGGCTCTATACAATGTGTGCTACACACATGAGCTAATTTGATCTTCATAAGAGCCCCGTGATAGAGACATTGTGAATATCATCTCATTTTTTTTTAAAATGAAATGAAATTTCACAATGTTTAAATGACTTGCCCAAGGTAGCAGAACTGTGGAGAGTGGACTGGAATATAGGCCAGTCTCTCCCAGAGCCTGAGTCCTTTTCCACTATTCTACTTCATGACAAGATGGTAGAATGTTCTTTAGTCTTTGTAAACATTGCCCAGGTTTTCAAGAATAATCCTTCTGGAAACAAAAACCTGGAGAGGCAGCCCTTCCGAGTCATGCAGACAAACGAGGTCTATCAAGCCCCAGACACTCACCTTAGCACGTGTGTGGATCCATTAATGGTGGTGGTTGAACAGGGCACCGCCTGGCCCAGAATGGAGGGTCTTCGGTAGCGCTCATCATCACAGCAGAGGATGATGAGGAAGGCACGTCTGAAAGATTTATTCAAGAAGGCGTAGAGAAAGGGGTTCAACCCAGAATTGATGTAGCCGAGCCAGAGGAAAGCAGTCCACACTTGCCCGGGAACAGTGTAGTCTACGAATGGATCCACAATATTGGTGACAAAGAACGGAGCCCAGCAGAGGCAGAAACAACCCATGATGATGCACAGGGTCTTGGCTGCTTTGGTCTCTGTCCTCATGCGATGAGTGCTGTGCTGGTCGGCCGGCTGGGGCCTGCCCTCCGAGGGGGCCCCTGCCCGTTGTAACATCTGGATCTGGTGGGCATGCTCCTTCGCGGTGACGTAGATGCGATAATAGGCCAGCACCATGAGGAGAAACGGGATGTAGAAGGCCACCACAGAGCAGGTGATGGCGTAGGGCTTGTTGACCATGAAGATACAGTACGTAGAGTTAGAGTTCTGGTTGAACTTTCTTTTTTCTATCTGAGAGTTGGAGGGGGAGCAAAAATGAGGAAAGAAGGAAGAAAGGGAAGGAAAAGGCGAAGGGAAAGAAGCAGGAGGGGAATGAGGAAAATGGTCGGAAAAGAAAAAGGATGAAAAAGAAGAGAAAAGGAGGGGTTGGAAGGGAGAGAGAAAAGGAGGGGAACAGAGAAGGGCAGAGAAGGAAGAGGAAAACAAGAGGAAAAGGAAGAGGAAAGAGAGAAGAAGATTTATCAGCAAAGCTCTCTTTTTCTTATAAGCCTATAGCCCATAGAACCACAATGGTAGAAAAAGAACACGATTGCATCCCAGGGCGCAGAGGGATTATCTGAGCACCAGGGGCTGAAGGCCCCGGGAAAGAGTAGAAATAAGATAGGCACAAAATCATCCTTCATTCTCTCTACCCAACAGACAGCAGAGTTAGCCTCTCCCCTTCCCGCCTGCCTGCACACAATCCATCTGGTAGTAAAAGTCTTTGAACTGAGCTCATTTTCCTCAGGACTGTCCTTACATCTCAGCATTTCCTATACAAAATTTAGAAGTAGCTTATCAATTTCCATACGCATCTTCAAGGATTTTGACTGGAGTCAGAGCAGAATGATTGAGGACAATGGACTTCTTTCCCATGGTCAGAAACAATTCACAAACATGTTAAGTCTTTCCTTTACTTAAATCTTTTGAAACGGATTTCAGTAATATTTTACAATTTGTGTGTGTGTAAATGTCTTTGCACGTCTTTTGTCAGATTTATTCCTAAGTATTTGACTTGTTGTTCTATTGCAAATGGTATCACATTAAAGTCCTTGATTGTAATTGTTTATTGCTGGTATATAGAATTCAGTGAAGATTTTTTTGTATGGCTATGTATCCAGCAACTTTGTTAAATTCGTTATTAATATTTTGTCTCTAGATTCTTATGAATTTTCTCCCTAGGTACCCATGTGATCTGCAAATAATAAAAATTTCATTTCTTCCTTTCCAATCTTAATAACCACTTTTCTCACATTATTGAACTTGATAAGACCTCCAGTGTAATTTTGAATAGAAGAGGTAATAGCGGACACCATTTTACATTCCCAGTTTTAGGAGGGGAGTTGCAATATTTTACTATTAAGTATGATACTTGCCAGAAGTTTTTTATGGATGCTCTCTTCTATTTTTAGTTTGATGACAATTTTTTAAAATCATGAATAGATACTGAATTTTGTCAGTGAATTTTTGGCAGTAATGAGATGATCTTGTGGGGTTTCCTTCTCTCTCGTATTAACATGGTGAATTACAGCGATTGTGTTACATTCCTGGAATAAACTTCACTAGTATTAGCTACTGTGACACAATAGATCTCTTTAAAAATTGAAAGACTTTTCTCCCTAACATAAATTCTGTCTGCTGACAGCTCTGAGTTATCAGCCTTGTCTAGGAATAGCCTTTGGCTGAAGACAGCTGTATAATCCAATGACACTTCCTGCCTAAGGTCAGCCTGCATCCAGTGTGAATATACACACGAACAAATGTATGAATAACAATTATATATGATACACACACATGCCATTTTATTTGTGTGCACATTTAGTGTCTTGCCTCATAGTGTATTATAAGGTGATAGTAGAAATTCCCATTGAATTGACATTCTTCTCATAACGAAATCTCTGTACCTCAGGTAATATGACTTGCCTTAAATGTATTTCATCACAGCTACGCCACCTTGCTTTTGATTAGTATCTGCATATTATATTTTTCCATTATTTTATATCAACCTTACTGTCAACTTGTATTTCATGGGCCTCTCTTATAGGCAGCATATATTATGTATTGATTGGTTGATGAAAAAATTTGGACCAGAACTTACAAGAACCTAACTCTGTATTTCTCCTAGGAGCGAAGATTTGGTATTTGTTAATTTACTGTTTGTGGCAACTTTATAGAACTTAATGACTTGGAATGATAAGAATCCACTGTACCTGTATTGGGAACATGTGGGTTGTGCTAGCATCTCTCTAAGCCAATTCAATGTGCAGTTGAGTGGAAATATATGAAATGCAATCACAGCATCATGGAGCAAATACAAGGCATGTTCATAGCAAGCAGCTGCCCCATCCCCCAGCTGCATGAAGTAAATAGGGGACGCCTCCAACTCTGGAAATGAACAACAGTTCTCTAGATCCTTTCCCTTAGAAATGCTATATCTGAAGGTAAGAGCACGGCACCCTTTTTTAAAAGTTCTGATGCACAAAATTTGTGCTTCCAAAGGTTTTCTCCATTTGGGAGTAAGTTTAACATAGAGATTAAGAGCATAGACCCTGGAGTGCAGTAAGCTTGAACTTAGCTATAGTCACCACTACTCCCTGCCACTCCAACTTTGGCTAATAACTGCACCTCTCTGATGCTCAGTTTCCTGAGGACAATGACAGGATCAACTTCATAGCATTGTCGTGAGGCTTGAGTAAGGTTCTCAGTAATAACGATTAAGTGAACATGGGCCTTGGCAAACAGTAAGTGTTCAACATTTGTTGGCCATTACTCTTAGTCTACTGGTTGTTGGAAACTTGAATTTCATTTCCCGTGAGATTGGCAAAACTGAGAGTTTGAAAGAAGAAGGATAGGATTCAAGAAAATATCCATACAGTCTCCCTTGTATGAATCCCCTTTTACTTCTCCACTCCTTTGTCCCAGCATTTCTTTCAGAAGCCCAAGGAACTCTCGTTCTGACATACCACATGCAAATCCTGGCCCAGCCTTGGTTTGGATATCCTTTCCTGGACAAAGAACAAGGCAAGATTAGGGGCTAGGAACGTGGTGGAGAGAAGAATAGGCAGCTCCTACTCTTAACTGGTCTTGTCGGGCTGGAGCCTGCTCACAATCTCTCCTCTCCAGTCCCCTTCCTACCTCAACATGGTCCTGCACCAAATGTTAAAGTGACTGCCTGACAACTTTGTTAGGGAACATATATCTCTGCTATTGAATCGCCACCATAGCCTTTGATCCTCACTGCGAGTCTGGCACCAGGAGCACAGTGTGTCAGAGCTGGAAGACTCTGGAAGGTAATCTGGACAGGGGCTGGCAAATGCCTGGCTCGTGTACCACGCACTGTTCTCCTACCCTCTGAGAGACATTCCTCCACCGAAGACCAATGCACCTACTCACTGGAGGCTTTCAGGGCCAGAGACAGAGCTGCACTCAGGGTCCAGTTCTCTTGATTCTTGGCCCAGAGTTCTCTTCATTTTCAGGAAGCCTCTGCCCACATGACATGTTTTCTGCTGGTCACTGGCAGCCATGAAGTGGGATGAAGGCCTCTTGGGGCACATCACATTGCTGAGGCTCTCTAGTCTGAACACTAAGCTTTGAGTACCTGTTTTGCTATTTACTCGGCATATTACTTTATCTTTTTGAGCCTGACATTTCTCATCTGGACAAGATGAGGGAAGGATGTTATTAGGATTCTATGTAAAGTCTGAGCATAATTTCTGGCACACAACAAATATTCAAAAATGTTAGCTTTCTTTTGTTGTTGTTGTTATTGTTGTCACTCGGATCACTGTCAGAATCTTTCTGGGGCCCCTGGGTGGCTCAGTCGGTTGAGTGTCCAACTCTTGGTTTCGACTCAGGTCATGATCTCATGGTTTGTGAGATTGAGTCTGGCATCTGGTTCTGTGCTGACAGTGTGGAGCCTGCTTGGGATTCTTTCTCTCTCCCTTTCTCTCTGCCTTCCCCCACACATGCGGGCTCTCTCTCTCTCTCTCTCTCCCAAAAATAAATAAACTTTTATATATATATAAAGAATTTTTCATAGAATATTCACCCAACCTGATATTGTTTATTTATTTAGGATCCCAGGCAAATAAAGTTAATCAGAGAGCAAACCAGTGGGTACTCACCAAATCAATTATGCCAATATTATTCCAGCCTTGCATTATAGGGAGAAAAGAAATAAACATGGGAATGACCCAGCAGCCTCCCAGCATTAATGCGATGCGCAGAGGGGTCATCTTGTTCCTATAGACCAGAGGCTGGCAGCAGATGGCATAATACCTGGAAATAGAATAGAAGGTGTGGGTACCATGGGAAAGGAAGAATGAGAGGTAAAAGGAGGGAAGAATGATTGAATAGAAAGAAGAGGAGAGAAGGAGCAGAGAGAGAGGAGAAAGGGAGTAAGAAGAGGAAACATTGGGAAAGTAGGAAATTAGAGGGGGAAGCAGAGCATAAAAGAAGGAAGGAAGAAAAGAGAAAATAATGGGGGATGGAGAGGAAAAGTAGGTAGTAGAGAAAGGGAAGATGAAATGAAAAAACAATAGAGGAAAGAAAAAAGCAATTACACAATGAATGTGATATTGGCCCATGAGTTTCTAGTGACATACATATAAACTTCAGATCACATGTGAGAGTCACTGCCTGGACTCGGCCCACATCCACCTTCCTCTCCCCATATAAGAAAAGGCTGACATTCACTTGGCAGTCTGCTCTGTCTCAGGCGTGGTTCCACAACTTACCTTCATGCCTGGGCATTTCAGAGGCTTCTGTCCAGCCCTCTGGACTCTAGTGTTCAAGGCCAACTGTATCCCTCTTTGATAACAAGGTGAAGTCTCCCAGGGTTGGCCCTATATCTGAGTTTTAAGAAATGTATCTCAGATTTGTCCCCATCCTCTTAATTACCTGGCTATCTTGAAGTGAATATCTAAGTCAGTGTTCCAGAGATTCCACTCTTCTCCCCTACATCAGACTCACCTGAGGAGGCCCACTTAAAATGCAGATTCCAAGGATCTCCTGGATCAGAGTCTGTTGACAAGGGAGTTTGCATTTTGACAAGTGGAAGTCATAGCTGCTGTTTGCTAAAAATGTCCAGCTCCCCCTTCTGGGCACATGTGCTTCCTGGCCTTCTTGTGGTTGGATGGGGCCAAGCGATTGGTCTGGTCAAGGAGTTGTAAACAGAACTGACATGCATTACTTCTGGACAAGACCATTAAAGTGTTTCCCTGATGCCAAGAAGGTAAAAGTTCCAATATTCCCTACTCCATCATTTCCTACCTACTGGTGGACCACCTCACCCTCATTTATCAGGGTCTTCTCCTCCTCATGGGATGCACTTCTTATGGCTGTTTGAGTCCATGTTCTGCCAATGTGTTAGCTTTCGTCTTTCTTCCAGATAGAGATGCAACCTGCTCTACTCAGTGATCTGGGCTCTAACTCCCAGACTGCTTCTTGCATATCATTCCAGTCTCAGAAATCACCACTTCCACATCCAGGCAGTTCTGGGAATCTGACAACAGGCACAATACCCTAGTAGGTCTATTGGCTATTTGTCTTTGGAAGAGTCAAAGAATAAGTGCAAATAGAAAGCCTGAAGGCTAAGTTTATTCTTTAAGATTTGATACCATTTAATGATGAGACACCCCCTTCTACCCCTCATTTTATGCAATTTGCTTTAATTTTCCCACCTCTTCTTTTCTTTTCTGAATTCAAAGCCTAACTAACATAACAATGGCTATATTCTTTGAAGAGGTGGTGGTAGGATGAATTGGGAAAGAGGGTGGAATAAGAAGGAGAGCTTGCCCAGCGTTGGAACATGAGACGTGGGTGCATAAGAACTGAACTGAAAGGGCAGAATTGCTCCTTTCCCTCCAAGGCATCAAGGAGCAGCCGACCACACTGTGCCGCTAACACTTCCAGTGGCCAGTAACACAGTGGGTGTCCTGGCCTGGACCAAAGTGCGAGAAACAACAGACCAAAGAACAGGAGAAAGGCTCACCTGGGAGCTCATTTTCTCTACCTTTAAAACTGACATGGTAACAAAATCTAACTAAAGATAACTCAATAATGGAAAGATCATGATGAGCTTAAAGTCCCACCATGATCTTGACTTAAAAGAAGGGCAAATCATTATCACAATGACAGATTTTTCTGAATGGCTGTGTTAATAATCATAAAGATTTATTAGTAACAGAATTAATCATGAATTTGGAGTATATGAAAATACTTTTTTAATATTTTAAAAATATTTTTATTTATTTGAGAGAGAGGCGGACAGAATGAATGAGTAGAGGAGGGGCAGAGAGAGAGGGAAGAAGAGAAAAATCCCAAGCAGGTTCTGCACTATCAGCAGGGGACCTGATGTAGAGCTCAAACTCAAGAACTGTGAGATCATGACCTGAGCTGAGATCAAGAGTCAGATGCTTAACCAACTGAGCCACCCAGGCACCACCCTCAATTTTTTTTTTTTTTTTCAAACTGTGCTCTCTTCCTCACTCACTGGAGGGTCTAGATTTAGACATTGGTTTTATCCATTTAGCATCTTTCCTCCTTTCTTTTGGTAATAACATCCAAAAGCCATCGAGAATTATCTCTTTTCTGTTGCTTTCATGGTGTTGGGAGAGCAAATGATGATGTTCCCAAGTTTTCTGGCCAGGGAGTGACCCAGTCAGACTTTTTCCTGAGACTCTGAAGGCCACGTGGAGATGGGGAAGTCAGCGAAGGTCTCTCTATACTACAGCGGCCTCCTGGTGGGGCTGGGAGTAACTCTTGCTCCTTGTATTGTTGGGTAGCCATGATCTTGTCTTTTCAGCTCCTCTTTCTTTAGCTCTTCTTTCGATTAAATAAGCTACCACATATATTTCCAATAAATTCCTTATTTTTTTCTTTGCTTAAGCTTGTGTTATGGATTGAGTTGTGTCTCTTCTCCCATTCCTAAAAAAATATGTTGACGTCCAACCCTCAGTACCTTGGAATATGACTGTATTTCCAGAGGTAATAAGATTAAAATAAGGCCAATAGTGTGGGCCCTGATCCAAAAATGGCTGATGTCTTTATAAAAAGGGAAATTTGGACACAGATTCAGATATGCTTAGAGATGGTGGATTGGAATGATCTGAAGTTAAGAAGAGCCAAGGAAAGCTCCTTCCCCTATAGGTTTCAGAGAGAGCATGGCCCTGTTGACATCTCGATTTCAGACTTCTAGCCTCTAGAACCATGAGACAATGCATTTCCTGTTCCAAGCACCCAGTTTGTGGTACTTGTTATGACAGCTCTAGCAAACAAAGTTGGCTAAAGTGCATCTCTTGCCCCCAAAGTTTCCAGCATCAGTAAAAATGATTCTGAATGTTAGACGTGTCCTTCATAGATACTTTGTTTTAAGTAATAATATCTTTGCTTCATTCAGTATACTTTCATATCATAGCTCAAAGTTATAACATCCCTCATCTACCATCCCAAAGAAGGCAATCGAGGGCTAAGTGAAGAACAGATGTTGCCGTATCTTTGCTGTGTAATTTATGATTCTTGAGGTTTGGAATAGATGTTGAATAAAGACAAAAATTCAGGAATTTTGGTTGGATTTCCAATGTCACAGAAATCCAAAAATTTAAAAAAAAGTCAAAATTAAATATCCTGTGGGACAAAAAGTAAGTTTGAGGAAGCAGGATATCTCACCTGAGAAGAATCTTGAAGCTTCCATATATGGAAACAGATATTCAGATGGTCATGTTGGGAAGACAATACAATTTACAGAAGAGGACTTCATAATATACAGTTATATTAGTGCTCAGAACACTTTCGTGAAAGTCTTTCTTTCTAAGTCTTGCTTGGTCAGGATGATTTATCTGATTCCCATGGTATGATGACTACTGTGTACACAATAAGATCTCCTCATGTTCGATATGGGTGAGAGGATGGGCAAAATAGGTGAAGAAGATTAAGGGCTACAAAGTTCCAATTATAAAATAAATAAGTCATGGTGATGTTAAGTACAGATGAGGGAATATGGCCAGTAGTATTGTAATAACCATATATGATGACCAATGGGAACTAAGCTCACTGTGGTGATCATTTCATAATGTATGTAAGTGTCAAATCCCTAAGTTGTACGTCTGAGAGATATATAATATTGTATGTCAACTTCACTTCAATAAAAATAGTTAATTAGATTTATTGATTTTATTTTACTTTTTCAGTTTATTTTTGAGAGAGAGAGAGAATGAGTGAGGGAGGGACAGAGAGAGAGGAGACAGAGAATCCCAAGCAGGTTCCCCAATGTTAGTGCAGAGCCTGACGTGGGGCTCAAACTCATGAACCATGAGATCATGACCTGAGTCGAAGTCAAGAGTTGGATGCTTACCTGACTGAGCCACTTAGATGTCCTTAATTAGATTTAATTTAAAGAAAAATGAAATGGTCTGCTATCCCATGTTCATGGTCTGTTGTCCAGTGTCCTCACTTTAATTGGCATTACCGTAGGTTGCTAGAAGCTCCTGCCACAGAGGTGGTGACAGATTTCCTTTTGAAGTTCAACTTCAAGAAGAATAGTGCAAATGTTGTACACATTTTACCAATCTTTTACACATTTGATCTATACAAGTCAGTGCCCTGGACAATGGATGCCTGAAAGAAAGTTGCGTGAACAGCTCATTCCCCAGGGGTTCAGTTGGGATGCATCTATATGAAAGACGCACAGATTATTGTAGAAATTGACTCTTGCATGATGTGGAGTGGTTGGGTAAACCTGAGAAAAATCCTTTATCTCCTACTTAAAAAATGAGTGATAAGTAAAAGGAAACATTTTTTTAAATTTTACTTAGATTGCATTGGCTAAGTTGCAAGTGATAGGTCAGGATGAGTAAGAAAATTGTGTCTAGGTATGTGTTTGACTTGAATCTTTCTCTCTACATAATTTTTAGCCTGATGCTATCTTACCATTGACATACTTTGATTTTGTAAGTGGCATGTGGTGTAAAAAAAACCATGAGATTTGTATTGGGAGCTCAGATTACGGCACCCACTTGACTGGTGGGTTCAAGATTCTTACCAAAGCTTTGGCACTCTTGAGGCAGCTTCCTGCAATAAGCCACCTCATATCCTTCTATCTTTCCTGATAACTTTCTAATCTTTGCTTTCTGGCAATGAATCAAGAAAAATAAGAATCGTCTTGAAGTCTGCATTCAAGAGTCTAAATTGGGTAGGTGAAAATAAACATTGCTGAGTAAAATGATTAAAAAAATTGAGTTTGAGGGCTCCTGGGTGGCTCAGTCAGTTCAGTGTTTGAG